ACAAGTATTATAACATTTTATAGTTATAATATAAGCAAATATGCATTTGATCTATCTTACTGTTTGTACATTAAGACATAATTATGTTTACATAATACGCAATAATCAGCAACATATCAGAATTTACTGCAATATAATAATTATATCATATATCCAAAATCAAAATAAGCATTGAACTGTATACAATATATATAATAATATAATATACATAAATGTAATACCAAATATGAATGGAATTATATTTAAATGCGTATGGTTTAATATGATCGATTAGTTGAGATTAAACGAATTGAGCCAATCCCATTTTCACAAACGACAAGACGTCAATATAAATCCCCTTGGCGACTTGACATTAATAATACGAACACGTGATTAGTAGTGACTCTAATAACTCAATATAGGTATATGTAATAAACTAATAAGTGTTTCCTGGCCACTTATAGTGGTATTAAATCGTTACTTGTATATTAATATATAGAAAAACTTGATTGGAATAACTTATTAATTGTTTAAAACAATAACCCATAATAGAATATTATGTATATTACTTCGATATTTTCACAAAGTGTAATTCGTGTACACKCTGATTAAATTATTTATCAACAAATACGAGAACCGTAAAAAAAAACGCTGATGTGTACCTACTATTACCATACATATTTATAATAACATAATAATATCATATTTAACGAAACATTATCTACGGTGGTGGGGATCATGTCGTAAAAATACAAACGATGTTAATACAATTTTCGGTCGGTATTCATGTGGGTTCTTCGTTTGACATTTCGGAAATGATTGTACGTTTTCCTATAACGCATATTGCATGCATATAATATAATAATCGCGCATTCCCTCGAAAGTCTATACACGTTTTGGCGCGACATCGGTGGTTTCTGCTGTTATAACTTATGACGACCGGTGACCGCGACAATGTTAATTTCGACTCGCTTCCGTATRGATGGCGGAGCATAGGTAGTTATTAGTACCGGTAATTTGTCAACATCATTGTACGCATAATAATATAATATAATATATTATAATATTAAATAAGTGTTTAGGCAGAAACGACGACCGCTCCTTCGTGGTGACTCGTTAACTTTATTACCGACCATTAAAGTCTACAAGTTTTTATTTTTCTCCTTCACTCAATATCTCTTGCTCCATCGATCCATCGCTAGTCTATTTCGTATTATATTGTATAAACATTATTATTATTATTATTATTAGTCTGTTTCACGCGTTACGGTTTTTATTTTCACGTCTTTTAATATTATCACGTCATAAAACACGCGCCGGATATATATATTTTGTTTTTTTTCTCCGCAAACCACAAATCGATACCAATAAACTCATATCGAATCGTATAATAAGCGTATACCGCGCGTCTTGACACGTGTTTTAACGCCACTCGAGTTTCGTGCGCGCGGAGACATGATTGTTTTTTTTTTTTATAAAAGTATTTACATGTTTCAATAAATTTTCCGGAACCGCTAGTACCTACCTATATTATGCGCTCTGTCAAACGTTCTGGACAGTTGTTATTATAATATAACGTGTTGTCATTTATTTTATAAAGCTGCACGTACCACGGGATATGAACCTATATATTCACTGCTAACACGCACCACACAGTATATTGTCGCGTCCAGTGCAAAAAATGGTTTAGCGTCTCCACCGCCACGGCCTCAATCGATCCTAATGGCCCCGTCCGTCCGTCCATCAGACGGGGCAAGTACCTATACCACTATTATATTTTTATTCCATAATGGTCGCAGTTCGTTTATATAGGTATAATAATATGTACAGCGCCGTGTAATCAGCATACAGCGGCTTTCAGACGACATGCGCGTGTAATACGCCTATATTATATTATATACTACGACTATATAGGTATAATGTATAAACTTTGCGACGGGAAAATTGCATTCGTATGTAAACCACATATACCTATATATATACACATCATATACAACGAAACGTGTTTGGACGCGTTTGAAATCTTGTCCGGCAAATAAATCTATAATAATACTTCGTACATGCTGTATGTATCATGTATGTATAATATATATATATATATATATGTATGTATTAAGTATATGATACAACGGCAATTATAATATAATAGTCTATTCAATGATATATAGCATTTATATATATTGTAACTTTGTAACATATACTCATATAGGTATGCTGATTTACACGGATATGCGATGGAGGTGCGTAAAGTTTATTCACGTGATGGTTAGGAACATTGAAGATATTAACATTAAGTTATTAAAGATTTTAATTCAATAATAAATGGAATTAGAAATTTCTTAGAAAAATATTATTACTATACTTCTGGCCTCTGGGACAATTATTATTGTTTTTTTTAAATACTATTACCTATCATAATAAATGCGTATACATATACTTATACTAATGTATTATGCGTTTACAAGAATATTGGTAAAATGGTTCATGATTTTTCTTTGTCGAATTTAAACTCTCTTTGTTTAAATTATACCAATACATACGATTACAATAAAATAATATTAGGTCTGTATAATATTCATTCCGGTTAAAAAAAAAAATTAAGTAGGAATTACACATTTTGATGTGAAAATGGAACTGATAAAATGCTTGGTTTAGGACATAAATTAAATTTGTAGGGAAATAATTAAGTGAGATATTTGTTCGATTATTCACGCCCTATATACAAGACTGGCAGTCGTATAGGCACATATTATAGTTATCATAATATTATATAAAAGCGAAATCTAATAAGATTCAAATTTAATCCACCCCTGAGTCTTATCGGATAAATCGTTTAAGACAGCGTGTCTATTATATAGATGTGTGCCTACGTTTAATAACATGCGTCTAATACTAAGTAGTAAGTATACAGAGTAATACCAATCGTGATTACCCCATTTTCTCTTCAATAATGCAGTTATTTAAAATCTGGTTTTTAGAATTTTCTAATACAGGGTGTCCCAAAGAGATCTGACATTCTGACAAATGGAATAACTTTTGTTCTAATCAATATTTTTTAAAAATTTCTTTTAAATATAATCCATAGACACTTGCGCTACATTTTTATAATACATTTTTTATTTTTTATTTTTTAAAACTGAAAATAAAAAACTTAAAAATTGATAAAAAATTTTTTCGAAATATTCAATATAGCCAATTTGTAAATCTGATTTTCAGAAAAATGTATATGGTAAAAACACTTATTAAAGTCAAATGGCTGATTTTTCACAATTTTTTTAAATATCAATATTTTCGTTAAGTAAATAATTACGATCTAGTTTATGTTAGAAACATTTTAATTTCAAATAATATAAAGTTTTTTAAAAATATTTTATAAGAAAATTTTTAAATAGGTGCATGTTAAAATATAATTTTTTTTTTTATTGCATTTATTTTAATAATATGTGATGTATAAACTATAAATTACTATAATTTACTATAATTTACTTAACGAAATATTGATATTTAAAAAAATTGTAAAAATCAGCCATTTTTCTACAAAACAGATTTACTAATTGGCTATAATGAATATTTCGAAAAAAAATTTTATCAATTTTTAAGTTTTTTATTTTCAGTATTAAAATGTAAAAAATGTATTCTAAAAATGTAGCGCAAGTATCTATGAATTATATTTAAAAGAAATTTTTTTTAAATATTGATTAGAACAAAAGTTAATTCATTTGTCAGATTTCTGTGAGACACCCTGTATACCTAGGTGGTACTCGTAATTTTAGATTGTTGAGATTTTTTCGTACTTATTAAATGAATGTATTATGGAGATACAAAATTATATTTTTCAAATGAGAACCTCTATTTTTACAACTATAAATTGTTTAGCAGATAGCTTATCGGAAAACGTTACGTAATAAAATCAAAATTTGAATCAGTTGTTTTACTTTGTGTATTGGTAAGATTATAGGTCTAAGATAATGTTTGAAACTTGAAAATTTATAGATATGGAAGCTATGGCGAATTGAAAATGATACTAATTATTATTAAGTAACCATAATTTTTAATTTTTTTAAATGGCCCAAGTATATAATAAAATAAACACTGGATGTCTAAATCCAATATTACACCTATTTTACATTTTTGGTAAAACAATTTTTATAAAAATAAGGATTATTTAATATTATTTATTATTTTTATTATTATTTTTATTTCTAAGAATAAACATTTCAATAACTAAAAACTACGCATTCAAATTTTAAATTTCTATTCAAAAATAATCTATTTAATAATTTACAGTTAGGTTCTCCTTTGAATACAAAAGTGTATACCACCACAGGTCTTTAAAGGTATCATAAAAATCTCAAGAATTTGAAAATATATATTTTTAAATAGGTACAGTGAAAACTATCTAGAGCGGACCCTGAATAAAACGGAAAACTATCCAATACGGAATTTTTCTATAGTTCCGGCACGTTCCTATAGTTTTATATAGACGCCGAACCTCAATAAAACACAACCTTCATAACGCGGAAACGAAACGATTTTGTAAGTCCCATGCAAGTAAAAACCTTGCATAACCCGGAAAAATGAAAAATCGTTGATCCCATGCGATTCCGCTTAAGACAGTTTTTCACTGTACATTTAAAAATTCAGAAATTCAGAATTTAAACATATTCATTATTAAATGAAACAATGGGGGTGAAAATGCTTATTGAATCATCTGGTATGCATTATGATTTATGAGTAATCAGTTTACCGAGTTTAAATATTATATAGCAAGCGCAGACGCTTTTTCAAACTTGACAAATGTCGTGCTAATAATACGGACAGCGGCGGATAACACATGTAAAATAAAATATCAGACCTCAAAAATATTAATAACAAAGAAAAAACTCGTGTTTACATGAGGTATCACTTCAATTGCATAGAAATAAATAATAATAGTGGCAAAACAACAACTATAATAATAATAGTAATAATAATATAATAACAATAAATAAATAACGTCAACATATTATTACTTTACTTACGTAAGTACTTGATTTGTGCTGACGATGACTGGCTGTTGGCTGTTTTCCATGTTGTCTTTGACCTGTAACACGCAGTGTATCCAAAGCCAGTCCCCTGTGGCCCTCTTCTGTACCCTGGCCAGTAGTATGCAAGAACGATCCTGTTCTGATTGTGTAACTGTATAAACCAACAATAATTATTGTTATTACGAGTATTTCAAAATCTATAATGATATATTTATGGTGTATAATATACACGAGTTTTACATACTAGAGTGTTTTCTTTTCTCTTAAACAACCGTAATATACTCGTACGTATATGTATAAATGGATAAATATGTATACACGGCGCGGACATATATCACGGGTGGGCGATAAAAAAATTTTTATTCACATAATATAATACATATCACTTTTGGTTTCGGGACGGCCACCTCCGGCTTTGTGTATTTATATACGGTATATATAATGTATGTGTGTATATATTATAATAAGTATGTAAGTGTTATTAAAACGACGTGTAGGTATATAAATATATATAATGTATATAATATACTCACTCAGCCTGTGTTTGCTCTGAGCCTCGCGCATGCACTCCCAATGCAACAATTGGTACCAAGAGACGCCCTGCAGCTCCGAGCGGGAAAACCCCAAATGAAATTCTCCTCTGGAAATAAAATAACGTTAATAGGTAATCAATAATAATATGAAAAACATAATATTATTTTCTGTCACCGCGCTGTTTGCTGAAAAACCGATGCATTCGGAACGTGATTTTGTTGATTTTCTCGCGCGAGAGTGAATATATAATATAATCTATAATTATTATTAGGTATACTATATCATGGTGTATAAATCATTATTATACATAAATACATAGTAGCCTTGTAGGTACGCATACAACGTACAGCTCATACATCGCGACGGTTATAATAATATTATTATAAATATTCGGATGCATTACGATGTCGAGCGTAATCGAATGTTTAGGAATTCAGCTTTAATACCGCACCATAATATTTATATACATATATAACAATTCTATAATGTGTGCGCATCATCGGTTTTTGATTACAATTTCGATTGAATTTCGAAGACGAGTCCTCATTCCTCCCACTCCTCCCCCGCGTTCACGGTCACCGTAGCCGGTATAGCGAGATACCTACACTCACATAGACATATAAATATATATATTATATATAGGTATAGGTATATTTATAATACTGTTGCTTCAATATGGTTACAAGAACAAGAATTTGTAGGCGTCGCGAGCGCGAGTTTGTGTGATCGATAGCGAGATTTGTTTTTAGATCATATTATACGTTCTTATTATGTATAATAATAATATTCTCACTACCGCCGTTACAAATCATAACCCGATCCGCGTCGAGAAAGTCGTGTGTATCCGATTCTGGTATAATTTCTTTTCGTCGGCTCGCGCGAGGCGTGGGCGGAGGGGGTGCTCGGCTCGGGACGTTTCGCAACAATCGAAAACGCCGTTCGGTAATATTAGGTACCTATATCTGCGCGGTTAGAAAAAAATAACATGGCCTGCAGTGCGAGTAAAATATAGTAACATATTATAATTCTTTCCCGCGGCCGTTAACTGCACATCCGTAATAGTAATAATAATAATATGTAAAGCGCGCGTGGTACGTGTCAGCTGCGACGGGCGCACAACACATCACATATATACGATATTTCGTCGTTCTGTAAATCGCCATAATTCATTCATTAGTCGCGGGGCCCCATTTGAATGGGATTAATAATTCTCGAGCGATATTATAATGACATATACTAATATTATAATACTGTAACGGCAACGCGACGACTACGTTGAATATGTAAATTATAATATACTATATATATAGATAAACCACCGTCGTCCGCCGACGCATAAACACCCCGCAACTAATTGGCAACGGTCACCACCCGGTTTGATGGCGTCGTAACACGATATCGCATATTATACGCCGAGACAATAATAATTCGAATTATTTTTATTATAGTTATATCCATTCAAGCAAGCGCCGTATATTATATTGTATTAAATTTTGTAGGTACCTACATGAGTATCAGTTGTATATAAATATGTCGCAGGGTGAACCTACAGAGACAAGCACATCTCTATTCTTGCAGGTAAAATCCAAGTGCTGCCTAAATAAAATCAAATAACTATATAGGTATCATGTATACGGCATTTTGAATACTCAAAGAAAAATGTTGAATTTGAAATTAAAAATATTTATTCGCAGATATTATATTGGCTTTATAAATTAGCTAAATAATACTTAATAGCGATTGAGAAATCCGGCGAACTTGACAGTTTTAGTTTTTAAACTCGAACTATGAATTCACACTACTACAGACATACCAATATAGTATATACTATAGATAATATATTATACTTGAACTTTGGTGGAGCAATATTCATAACAGGATATCGAAACTTACAATTATAGAGAAATAGCTGCAATTAAGACGGGGAGGGCTGTCATCACACACGCCGAAATGAACCACTCAGCATGTGAATGACGCGGTCCGCGGGTGATGAACTACTAGATGATCTTCGCGATTCATGTGTTTTTCTACGCACACGGTATGTACAAAAGTATTGAACGTTCTACTGAAGCTAACGCCGATGACGTGTGAATGGGACGAAGCGCATGTATATACACTGCTGGTATAGGTATAAAAACGGCGGTTATACCTATCGAGTTGTGCGGCGTTTCTTTGAGATGCGGAAATCATCGACTCCAGTTATCGGAAAGATGCATACTCGAACTTATGTATTATATAGATCGATTCAAGGCGTAGGCCTTTCGTCGCGCGGATATACAACGACTACGATGACGACGACTATACGACAAACGACCCGCCGACCGTACATGTTTAATTGCAACAGAATATATAATATTACAGTGTATACGCGCGTAATGTATCGCGATAAAGAGTGTACCTACATATTATGTATAATAATACTTATTATTATTTCCTAGAGGACGGAGCGTATTATCCGGTACAGTTGGGTTTTGCGTGATTAATGGCAAGAATGAGGTTTATTACATAAATATATATATTTATAAGTAATAATACGTTGTATAATATACAATGTATATATTATAATAATAATGTAATATAATGTCGTGTACGCGCGACGAAAGCTTATATTGCCGACCGCTATAGGCAGCTATAGGTATATTCGACGGCCAACCTCGCCCACGCGACGGGGACACCCGACAAATCGTTCGCCCGCCGCTGCACCAATTCCGCGCCGAACAACACACAACAGGTACCTATACAAAACTGTTATTAATCACCCGTTTCGCCGTTCCCAGTTTTAATATGACATACCTACACCCGATGCAGAGGCAATAAATACGTACTCGTTTCTTTATTACTATTACTATTATTTTCTTCTATATATAGGTATATACTTATATCACCCGACAACCGGTCCCGTCGAAGACGACGGCGTCTAATGATATATATTTCGGTACTTAATTTGTTCCCGCGCGCGGAATTATTATTGTGCCCTGTGTATTTTCAATAATTGTTTTTTAACGAGATAATTGGTGAAATGCGCGCGGGCGCGAATTGTAGATAACTACTTACATATCTGCGTATATAATATAACAGCGACGGTGATGATTTGTTGCCCGGACCGTGAGCGTTTTAATTGGCGCCCCCGAAATCGGAGTTGGATATACGAAATGTGCGTTCAATAGGAAACGTAATTTTTGTATATATTATAATTATCATTATTATGCACATGAATAATTCAGAGCACGTTACACCAGTACAGCTCAAGTCGAGGTACACCGCGCCATCAGCAACAACAGCAACGACGCTTTTTTTTATAAATAATAACATTTAATGACTGAGTATAAACTCTAGAGCAATGACGGCGCGCCGCTGTTTAAAGTAAACCGATTAAAAACAAAAATCGCGTAACTAAACGGTTTGTCTCGTTTCGAATGCATAACATGCAGTGCCTCGACCACGCGTCGCCGCATTGGTCACGTGCCGCGGCAAACTACGATGGTAATAATAATAATAATATGAGCTATGGTGCGGTCGGTATAGGCGAATCGAAACAATGGCCCCCTTAATGGTGTTTAAGTGTTTACATACATTTTGTCTACGTGTATGAACTTCATGTCCATCGAGTGGATAGCTGTGAACACCGTGGTGGAACCCTGGACCACGGCCTCCCTGGTCTCAGGCATCGCCACCGGGCTGCAAGTGGCTAGGAAAACTGGTTCGTTTCTGCTGCACAGCGGCAGATAGGAGAGGTAGTGGCCCTGCACTAAAACCACCTGCCGGACAAACAATCATAATATTACTCAACGACACAACATTGCACAACGTGTATAATATGTTTAGGTACTTATAATATAATATTATATGGTTACGATAACGAGGGGTCAAAGTGTTAATTTTTGTTTTTGGAATATTAGAAATTTGAATTGGCGCGAGTCGAAACTGGTTCAGTTTTTGAATAGGTTCAAATCACGTTCAAACCAGTTTTCAATATTATTTTTAATACTTTTTGATAATAAATCCGGTCGCGTGCCCGTTTTGAATCTCCGATTATCATGAACGCATAAAGGTAGGTACTTTTATCAAATTACCCCTCGAAAATAATTATTTAACAGATCATGTTATAAAGACGAATTATTTATATTATTTGACAACAAAGAGTCGGCGTTTCGAAAGAAAATATGCAGAGTACTTTGATAAAAGTTATTATTGACGATGAATGATTATAATATTATAATTATTTAAGATCCTACAAATCAAACAATATATTGTTCTAATAAGACGAATATTTTAACGTGAATGCATAAGAATAAAAAAATAGGTACACGTCATATGTAATTATGTTATTATAACATCATAAGATATTGTTTTTATTACCTTTTGATCGCCGAATCGCATTTGTCTTCGGGCGTTTCTAGAAACGTTCATCCGGCACAAGAACATGCGCTTGCATCCTTGGTCCTCGGCGGATGTTTGACTCCTGGACAGTTCGGTCTGAACGGCCTGATGATCTTGCTTGTCTATCATGTCGTACACACTGTCGCCGTGTATGAGGAGATCCTCCTGCGGGAACGAATGAACGATAATATTATAAGCAATACCAATGAAAAAAAAATAATAATAATGTACAAACAAACGCATGAATTCCGTTATATSATATTATTATTTAGGTACCTATCGTTGCAAATGGACACTGCGGGAGAGCAGGTGATTTCGAACACATCGAATGCCTACGAGCACCGTATAATATATACGCGTATATACGGGCGCGGAGAGTATAATAATAATTTAATATTTGAAAAACAAAAAAAAATATTTTTTCTTCTTCTCGTCCTACGTGCTATATGAAATCAACGCCCATAACGTTTTAATCGCCACACAAATCTTAATAGCCTATCCGACGGAACGAGGAGGAGGACTGCTGTGGTATGATATTAATTCGACCGGAGAAACGTCCCCGGGGTCGTCGTCGTCATCTTCTTAGTCCTCGTGTAGTACGCGCGTGTCTGTTATGTCGACGTGAACTAAATTTAATATTATGTTATTATGACTATCATTTTCGGACGTACAACCAATCGTCAGTATTGCCTATACCTCACACAAGGTCGTATCTAGAATGAGATCGAGAGTAGGTCTCTCCGATTTCTGTGTCCTACCGTTAAATAATGAATTATTATAATAAAAAAGTCCTATTTCTTATAAAGATTTTCCGCAGTTAATTCCATTAATTAATGGAATGCATAATGAAATAGTAGCGGATGACATATCTGTGACACACTGACACCATTAGGTACGTATACTATAAACTAGGAAATATAAATATAGTATAAGTATTTATAATAAAAAAGAAGGCTTATAAAGTTATAAACATATTAGTCATCCGGAAATCTATTTCAAGGGGAGTCATATGTTTAAGATTACTAAAAATTCAAGACATTGATATTTATAGTATTTATATCCAGAAGTATAGTTAAACAAATTAATAATATTTATTATTTGGTATAAAATATGAGTGGTTCACCATATTTTGGAAAATGATTAAGCATACCTGTATAACAAACAAAAACCGTGTTTAATATAGGGACGTCGCGACTCGCGACATAGAGTCCGGGATTTAAATATATACAGTTGATATTGGTAAATTATTGAAATTACAAAATACGTGTACATGTGTACACGTATGTATTTTCGGTATATCAATAATTAATACACAAAATCACATTTGAATGGGTGGTGTGGGGGAGAAAGGGGGCGACCGACCACACCATAGCAGGTTAGTCGTTGACCGATCGGCGCGCGGACCTACCGCCGCACCTATACAATATACATAGGTATACAATACCGCGAATGGTACAATATAACGTTTGTCTATAGGTATCTATAAATATATACTATATAAATGATAGGTAGGTAGGTATAGTAATTTCCCGCGAATGACAATGACGTATTGCGAAGTGATAAATCAATGTGGCCTATAACGACGACTTCGACTAGGCCGCGACAGCGACGACGACGATCGCGATGGATGAGGCGGAAAGATAAGGGAAAAAATATGATCACACCGAATCCTAAAAGATAAAATGCGCGGTTATAGACACTATGCCGTTTCGTCCGATCAATTGAAAACGTCGTTGGCGCGTATTATATATAAGTATATATATATATATATATATATTATACGTGTGGCGTGTACAATGCATATAATATATATTATGGGTACAAGCGGGAAAATGCATTAACCATGTAAAAAACTAAAAACCATTAACCAATCGGTCCTTATTTGCGTTGTTGTGTACGGCTACCGAACAGCTGCAGAGTTACACGAGCGACTCACATATAATATTATCATTATTGTTATATAGGTAGGTAGGTGCCTAACCTATAGCCCGCGTGTCCTCGGCAACACCTAAGTCATATACATATTGCACATATTATATAGTATACGGTATACAGCAGCCTATCTATAATATTATATTATATACATACACCTTTATTTATATACGTACAATGGTTAGTTACCGGTTGCATTTTTTTTTTTTTACTGGTTTTATTTATTTATATTTTTTCGCGTCGTCGCGACTCTTCGCATTCTAACAAACCTGTATAATATTATAATTCCGCGTGCGAACTTTTGTACACCACGCAATGAAAGTCTATACGCGCGAGCCAGTATATGTGCGTGTGTGTGTGTACAAGTATGGCGAGTATAACGCGTCGTATATAATATGATAGTATTATTATAATGGTGTTTCGGCGTTTCGCGTTATATATTGTGTATAATAATATTATTATGTTGTGTACACGGCTAAAAACACACAACTTTATCGATATCGGGCAAAAAAAATCGTTTTACGCGCAGCGGGCGGCGATTTAGTCGTAAAAAACACTTATCTCACGGCAATTGGAGATGGAAAAAAAAATGATAATATATACGACGTGTTCCTCTACACGGAAAATTACGATGTCACCGCGGCAGCGAGCAACGGTTATTTTTTTTTTATTCTCTCCATAAATTACATTTCCGTCGATTTAAGTGCGCGCGGCGTATACCGCATTTACCTATAAAGTAGTATAATAATATAATGAAATATGTGCTCGGCGTGCACGTACCCGAGAGGGGAAGGGGTGCACAATTAATTTATACATTATTATTGTTTGTGACACTCGCATAATGTTTTGATTCGTTATAATTAATTACAAAATAATTATAGTACAAACATCACGTCATATCATTTAGACGAAAATATAATCATTCAATATGTGAATTAGTTAGTATTATAATGAATAATGATGAATAGTGGATATTATGTAGGTTAGGTATGTCGCGTTTCAGAGTGTAAAAATAATATGTAATACATCATGTATTACACCTAAATTCCTGTTATTATAATATATAATATTCTATGTACCGCGGGTTAACATCATGCCTGTAATAATATCACCGCGATAGGATTGTATAATATTATAGGTACTCAAAATAACACGGTTTTTCGCACTATAAACATAATATCGTTCCTTAACATTACTAGGTACATATAATATTCAGCTTCACATAATATCATATTATTGTTTGTACAATAAATTAAACGACTTGTATCGCGAACCGCGGTCTCCCCGCGGGCGCTCTTCGCGGTATACGCCGTCGTACACACTATAATATAATATATATCGGTAATAGGTACCTATATTATGTATAGGTATTATGTGTAGGTACATAAACACACCATTGTGCAGCGAGTAATTTAAGTAGAGATTATATTAATATTGTTGTACTTACATACCTGCGCGAATATACATACACATTTTACATAGTTTATTATAACGAAATATTGCAATGCACTTACACTTACTACACTTCATATGATAATATAATATATACTGTCTATTATATTACGTCTGTAAGATGATCGTCTAAACGTTTTCCAGCCATTTGCAATGCGCCCGACGAAATGCATACACCATAGAAATAAAGAATATACACGGATACGCGCGGTGATATTATCTTAATCTAACATTATATCATAACACACAACGATATTAATAACATTATACATTCGAAGAAAAGTCGAACTGCTGCGTATGTAGTGTATGTAATGTATTCGATTAACTGCGAACTGTTAGAGTATAATAACACGCAAACCGACAGGAGTAACGAACACACATAGTAATATAATATATTATTAGAGACTGAGCTGCGAAAAAGATTTTCCGTTTAATTCTCCTGGACCGTAACCCGAAACCGACGAGGCGACATAATACAATTATTTTTCTCCGTCCGTTTCGCGCGTGCAATGCATGGAAACAAAACACAATAATATATTATTGTCGTGTAATATACAGACTGTAATATGTTATTATAATAAATTATCACCACCGTACTAATATTATATTGTCGCATCCTCCATGAAACGTCATTGATGACAAGTTACCGCGGTATATTAAATTATTAAACACCTACTATACCAATACCACTACCTATAGGTATATCAAAAACGTCGTGTATACTACACGTCTTATTGAAATTTATTAAAATAAAATGTCTAAAAATATATTTTATATTTTCCTATTATCGATGTATACATATAGAATTTTAGTTTTTGATAGACTGGCACAAAAGACGTATATAGGTTTCAAGTAGCATAGAAAAATCGACGCAATTGACAAACACTCGTGTATACGCGACCACCATCAACAGTGTCGTTTGAAACAGATAGTAATAATATAATCGCACAATACGTTCGGACCGCGCAAGCAGTATAATATTATTATATTAAACGTATGTAAGTACAGTCACAGATCAAAAGGTTAGATATTTAGGTATGTCGGTATGTGATGGTATAATATGCATAGTGTTATATTATGATACGCTCATTCGCGTCATTAGCAGAAGTCCCGCGGTAGGCTAAAATTTTCGAGTTTATTTGATATTGTGAGCATGATGCCGCATTAACGAACCTCGGCGCGTATAGTAATATTACAATAAAACCAAAAAACAAAATAAAATACTTTTGGATGCGACGGAACTGAGGAGAAAAAAACATTTAACAATTTAAATGGAAATGCGCGCACGAGACCGACCGAATAAGGGCAAATGAGTTGCGTGGGTCGGAATAAATGGTTTTTTTTTTCTTCTTTCGTATGAATGACGTACCTATACGATGGTAATATGCGCGCGAACGAATGCGATGTTTATGATGATGATGATGATTATGAATCAGATGGCGGGCGGTGATGTGTACTATATATATTATATTACCTCTAATAATGCGAATGTGACGTGCCTGCAGCAATGGTACGACGACGGCGACGACGCGCGTGGTCAGCGAATTTTGTTTTTGAATGAAAATAATTTTTATCGTTACACAATCGACGAATTTGGGAACGCTGCTGCAGGAAACCGAGTGTAGTGAAATGCATAAAAACCGTAATATATACAAGTACCGCTTAATTGGACCGTGCAGGTCCGCGGACGTGAAAAGATACGACCACCGAGATAAAACAATTACAGGTGTGTTATACCTTATTTCGGTTTTTTTTCCCACTTCGGTATATGTATTATAATA